TGTTTGTGAGGAAGAGCTGTATTACAGATTTTTCTCTCTGTGGGGCTATGTTCTAAACATATTTTTTCTAAGAGAATAATTATCCTGAAATAGAACACTTGACATACTACATGTGGGATGTAGAATAATCAAGCAATATAAGTTTGTAAATGTGAAGTTGTTGTGAACATATGCATGTCTTTATTGCATTGTGAAGTACAAGTTTGAAGATGGAGTGCCTCCAGCATCCAAGAAGTGTAGATGTCTTATTAAATTAACAGGTCCTGACATGTTTACTGCTTTTGTTAAATAGTTGTACAGTTTTCCTAATGTAAGCATAAACATAATGTGTTTTCACTCCAATTTTCCTTCCTCTCCTCTATAATTTTATTCTATCCTCCTTGTGTAGTGAGTTATAAACAGGTCAATCCATTAAAAGATAAGATCGCAGTATTTTTGGCTTCCAGAATCCATTAAAGGATAATATCATTTGTTTTGGCTTCTTCTTGGAGAAATCAGCTTTCCTCATTTATATACTTTTAATAAAAGATCTGACTTTTAGAAAGAAGGGAAGTAAGATAACAAGATTTTAGAACGCGGAAGGGAAAATATTTATTTTTTAAAAAGCAGATTTAAAAGCATACTGCTAACTCCCAGGTTGAAGGAGCTCTTTAGGCACTAAGACTTGATAGTGAAGTATATAAAATATGAAGTGTATTGACCATCTCTGTACAGGATGAATAGTCAAACAGTACTCACTAAACTTCCAGGTCAAATCCTCAGCTGTTGAATTGCAAATGAAATCACTGGAGCTACAGAAATTGATGCCAGCTGGATCTGGTCCCCAAAGTCCTTTCCCAGCATGACTTGGTCTTCTACAAAGTAGGGTAGACCATCTAGGGTGGGCCCTTCTGTAATAGTTCCAGAGTTCTGGATAGGAAGACATCACAAACCATCAGAGTAGTATTTATGATCCTTTTATTACATGCTACATATTGAAACTTAATTTGGCTCCCTTGAATTGTTTTTTCTCTTGCAAACGTTCACTGGTTATCTGTTTTTGTAGGGTTATTCACAGTGTTTGAACTACTGACACTGAATGTGATGACATTGAGTGTCACTCGTACTGGACTGCTGCACAACTAAACTAGTTGCCGCAGAACTAAAACAAGACTATGTGGGTGGAACACATTTTCTCCCTGGTCCTCTTTATCCTGACAAAGTAAAATACTGTAGCCCCTGCTGGAGTAAATTGCAGCTACGTTTCCAGCAGAAAACCAGACTTGAAAATTTTAAGTATAGATGAAATGGTGCTCTGGAAAGGTTAAGATCAATAAAACTAACGAGACCTGGATGTGGTGGACGAAGGCACACTACAGCTTTCCCACTAAGTTCTATCAGTTTAAAAGATCTGTGGCACAACAACGTTCCCAGTCCTCTCTCAAGCAAAGACTGATGATCTCATTGAGTTCTGCAGTGGGTTTTGTGATTGTCCACTAGGGATTAAGTCCTTGTCTACAATAGACATTTTCCCCCTAAAATTTTCCTCCAGTGCTGCTCCACCAGTAATAGTAGAAGTGGGAGGTCTAATGTAGACAAGATGCTAGTGACCACTGGCATTTTCACCATATCATCTAGACCCACTCTGAGCTAGTTCAGATGCCACGGGGATAAAAAAAACCCGGCAGCTTCTCTGCTACAGCTCCTGTTGTTGCTGGTGCCTGTTGAGGTACCCAGGTGGAAAATTCTGTGGAGAAGAGGCCAGTGGAGATATTTTATAATAAGCGATCTCCAAACCTTCTTTCATCTCTGTGCAAAGTAAGATTTGATTCCATGTCTCCTGAAAGATAGCTACTTATTAATCAGGCAAAATGTTAAGTGATATTGGAGGGCCTGATTTTCACAATTGGTCACGTCTAATTGTGCACCTAATTTGTGCATCCATGGTTGCATACACAAATGGACATTTGCAAACCCAAACAGATGCCTAACCAGTCATTTTCAATAGATTAATTGTGCACATACAACTGTGATTGCATTTTTGTGCAGCTAATTTTTAAAATCTGTGTCTTAACTTTTCAGAGTACAGTAGTATCTTACAGAAAATCTTACAGATTTATCTCTACTGCCAGAGTGAGGCATTTCCTGTCCATGTTCACTGGATTGCATGATAAGTGTACAATTTGTGTCAAGGTTGTATGGTTATCTGCAAATTTATTTCAAACTGTCCCATAAATGTCAAGACACAGGCTGTCTGGTCCCACTGTGACTGAAAATCATCCAGTTGCATGGGGAAAAAATATTGTAAATATTCCTGAATTTAATGAGAGAATCTGCTTTGTCAAGCAAATGAAGAAAAACATCTTTCTGTCAAAATTATTGGTGGCCTCTTTAATTTACTGAACTGAAAACTGCACAATAACTTCAGAAGTATAGTACAAAATCTACTGGGAAAGGTCTCACTCTGCTATCTTGTGAAAAGCCTGGGTCTTGGCTTCTGGAAGAAAATGGGGCAGGACAAAAGGGGTGGATTCTGAAATCTCCACCCAGTTCACTTCCCTTTTGGGGTGATCCTTCTCTCTCCACGAGCTCGCTGCCCCTTTGGGCTGGACCCAGTTCCTGCCACTGAGCAGGTGAACTGATGACAAAGAAACCAAACAATCCCATGAGGCGAGGGCCCTCAACTGTTGTGCTGGGCTCAGTCCCATGTGCTGCAGGGCTGAGAGCTGGGGCACAGAATGGCTCTGGGGCAGGTCCCTTGGCAACCTTGTGGGGAGGAGCGTCGGGAGGAAAGGGCCTGCCAACTTGGCCTGGGGTTGGATTTGGCCCAGCCTTTCCCTGGGGTGTCCTCGGGAAGCCTGAATCCCCCAGTTCCCCTCCCCAGCACCCCTCCCCAGCTTCACCCTTAGTGACAAGGGTCACACTCTCGGGGAAGGGCAGACCTGTGGGAGCTGTACCCTGCATGGTGCCGGGATCCTGCCTGAGCTCTCTGCCCTGTTAGGGCCCTGTTGGCCCTCTCCCTAGCACTCCATCCAGCCCCTCCTTGGGGCAGACCTGAGCTTCTAGCCCTATGCTCCTGCTCAAGAGTTGGGCCAGGAGGCCATGGTCATACAGGAATACTGCAACAGCAGCCTCAGCCAGTCTGCCACCCCTTCCCCCAAGTCCTCCTGGCTGGAGGGGAGTGGAGACAGAGACCCCATCTGTCGTAGACTTGAAGCCCCTCCAAGTTACCTTGGCTCTAGGAAGCTATCTGAGCGAGGCAGGTGCACTGGTGTTGGCGGATCCAGCAGGGCAAGACCCCCTCTCCAGCACATTCACCTGGGTCAATGTGGGGAATGGGGGCAGCCCTGCACCCTGGGGCACCAGATCCTT